AGAGCATTGATCTGTTCACGGGCTCGCGACAGCTCGCGATCCCGATCATAACGTGAAGGTGAGACATAATTGCGAGGCGAACGCGAAAAATCACGACCACGAGGAGAACTACGAGAGGCAGACTTACCTGTGTTCCCTTGTGAGTTACGAGGGGACGGGCATTGCCGAGAAAGATGACCTACTCCGCCGCAATTGAAGCATGTTACCGGGGATCTTGACCGGATCGGGTTCCTCCTTGTCTGCTGAAATGGTTGGGTTGAGCCTTGGTGGAAAGGCTGTTTCCGTTGGGTCCCTCCGACCTTCCTCCCAGGAAAGGCTGTTGCCTTCACCTCGACAGTCTGGGGCCCTAGAGAAGGTCTCATGAGTCGATCCGCTGTAGCTTCCCTGAGTAGCTGCTCCACCATCTGCGCTCTCGCTACCGCTTGCTCGAACGTGGATGGATTGTCGAGCTTGACGTAATAACGGAGGTCGGGGCGGAGTCTAGATACAAACTCTTCTAGCACCCTATCCTTTTGGCTGGCTGGGTCTTGACCAGCCGTAGCGGCCCGAACCAAAAGTAGCAGACGGTTCGCGAACGTGGAAGCAGATTCAGAAATTTGCTGCTGACACGAGGCGAGCGCCTGACGCGCCATGTACCGATGCTGAGGGCCTTCAAAAGTCCTCTTGAGGTGTTCCACGACGACCCCATAATCGTCCCGCTCCTCATCGGTTAGTTCCTCCAGCTTCTCCCTAGCCACTCCATCCAGGTAGCCTGTGAGGAAGTAGGCTTTCTGTTGGGTCGTCCATGTGGTGGACCTCATACGCATGACGTCCTCCAAACGGCGGAGCCACAAGGAGAACTGCATAGGATCTTCCCCCGAACCTGTAAAGGGCACAATCCTCGGTAGTGGTCCATCAGGGCTCACCGTTGCTACCATTGGAAGGTTATCAATACGCTGTCCAACGGTGGGAGTCGGCATTTGGTTCCACGGTTCCACACTTCTAATTACTTTCCCACGCATCCAATCACTCGCCTGTGGGGTCGCTTAATTTGTTGGCTGTGACCTCTCTGGCAGTCTGAGTGACCTGATATTGATCCTATGGATTGGAAACTGTGTTATTATCATTACTGATATTAATATTTGTTATTATTACACATTTTAAAATAATATGCAGTTAGGAGAATAAAATGTAAAAATTCAATATCTTTATATTATAAAGAGACTATGAAGCAACATCGGTGACGTATGTATCTAGACATTTTCCTGCAGAATTGCTCTGTTTCCTGCTCTCTTGGTCCATTCTCCATACACTTGGTCCCGATAGATTAGAACGTGATGCTTTCTTCCCTTGCTTACCTACCTGCCTTTCGCCATTTAGGTGTGCTCTGAGGTAGCTGTAGCTGTCCCTAGGGTTTCTAAAAACGAAGGGTTTTGGTTGACAGAGCTCACAGTGCTTTCAGATGCTGAGGATGAATATAAAAGGAATTCGGAGCTCAGCACTCGAGGGAACAGAAAGGGAAGTTGCAAGGGGTGGAAGGGGTGCAGATGCATGAAATAGAGGTGGTACAGTGCATTGTGGTAGGCTAGCTAAGTACAGGGGTCCGTAGGAATAAGAAGGAGTAACAGTAGCAGCTAATCCTGAGTTGAAGCCGAGAAAGCTCTGTAGTCGAACTCAAAGTAGTACAAGTGAGGCATACTGCTCATGCGATGACAAGCACACTACAGAGGCGATTTATGATGCTTTCATCCACATATTTGAATAACTTCAAGTGACCTACTGGCGGTATTCAAAGAAAGCGATAGAGGGTGTTAAAAAGCTTGAAAGGTCACTTTGTCAACTAGTTTGCCTGCAGGCGCCTTGTGAGAATGACTGCTTACACGATGTGATAAGTCCTTTTCCCCATCCCGTGATTTTTCCAATCATTACTTTGGCCTCCACAGCTTTCTGTGTTGCATTATTAAAGTGTTGCATATTTATTTTTTTGTTTTGTCTT